CATTCCCACAAGTTTTCAGAAAAACACTGAAATCCATGGTGAGTTTCCAGTAAACAATTCCTCTCTGTCTGTACACACTGCATCTCTTCTCACTTCTCTTTCAAATGAATAATATTGTAACCACTATTTCTTCTATTTTTTTCAGATTATGAAACCAGGTATACCAGTGCAGAATATCTGGGCAGGACAGAAAACATAAAGATGCCAGAGGCAAATACTTTTAAGAGGGCTTGTTTCCTAATTCTTTTCTTTACATTTCCTTCTAAGTGGAGATTCCATGGTGTGTATGACTTTGTACGTGTTCACTTTCTTGTCCTGCTCTGACATGTCATCCTCAACATTTCCACTGACATTAAAATTGCTGTGATTCTGAATCACAGGCCTGGGTGTTAAACTTGAGAAATGGATATCCAACCACTCTGGTGAACACACATTAAGATCGTCTGACAATCCCAATGTTAAGACCACCACCTCTCCTACAACCTTCTCTGGGAGGGCAATCGGGGCAGTGGCACCCAGCCAGCTGGCAAAGTACACCCAACAAAGAACCTGTCAGAAAGAACAAAACAAAATCTGAAGGCAGAACGGCACAGGTTCTAATCGCAGTCTTTAGACTGTCAAACTCGGGGCTCTGAGGCCAGGGTTTGCTTCCTCTGCAGAGCCTTCCTCCGGAGCCACCCTACCATGAGGACGCCGCTCAGGGAGGGGACCTTAGCGAGGGGGTCACCCCACTGGGAAGGGGAACACCGCGAGGACACATAACGGAGGGCGACCCCACAACGCGGACACAAAACAGGGTTGCGGACCCCACCGCGGGAACATCCGCACAGGGAAGCGGATCCCAGGGCGGGGATAGCCCGCGGGCAAGGAAGCGCCACCGCTGGGCCGCCTCACGGGGAACGGGAACCCCACCGTTAGGGCGGCACATGGGGAAGGGCAGCTCCCAGGGAGGACACTGCTTCGAGGTCCCGCTCCGCCCTCACCTCGAGGGCGCCCGGGAAGGGAACAGAAAAGGCTGGCGAGCTCCCCGGGAGACTAAAGGCCGTCAACGAGGACCCGCCTCACCGTCCGCGCCACCGCCGCCACACAGGTCCCGACCGGAAGTAGGCGCTGACCGACACTTCCGTTTCCGGCGGCGGGCCGGAAGGGCGGAGATCGGGCAGCCTGAGAACTGCATTCTCCTGTGGTTGGGTGTGCACTCTGCCTGCGGTCCTGAACTGGGGTCGCTGTCCACGGGCCGGAGGACGTCGGGACCGTGTGCCTGCGCTGCTCTGGGACTGCTCTGGGTCGCCCTGCTCTTTTCCCCCGCGTTCTTGGCGGCCCCAAGCGCCTGCCTAACCTTAACCCTCCGCCCCTTCCTCCTGGCCTCTCCAGTACTTCGTGTGTTCCACTTCCGTGCTCTTCCAATACTGTGATGTCCATGCTGTGCAGTGGCCCGGTGTTCCCCTAGACGGGCGGCTGGCGGAGGGCATTCAGTAAGTGAATGAACAACGTGGGTACCAGGCGGTGCCACCCACCGACACCTGGAATCTAAGAATGCAGACAGATCAGGACCCCGCGGGAGAGTTGCAGGGGGCCGAGCGGGGCGGGGGAGGGCTACTGTTGGGCAGGAGATGGGGCACCCTTCACAGGCAGGAAGATCCTTGAGTCACTGCGCCGGAACTAGAACTGGGCCTTACCTATGCAAAAACAGCAGGTGCTCAGCCACCAAGATTTCGGGATTGTTATGCGGACGCTCTTTGCCTTAACATACCCGCTGAGAAGGACGTTGTCCATTGTGTTACCAACTGCTAGATAGTACTGCGCTTCTAAGATCAGCCAGGATGGTACAGAAGGAAGGGTCTGAAGGTGACAGGGAGGAGAGGACCACACACACCACAACCACAACCTGCCTACCTGCTGAGGGCGGTGCTTAAGTGCCAGGCTAACTCCCAACATCTGGTCCCTCATGTTAGGATTTCATCTTCACCTACAAACTTCTGAAAATGTAGCAACAAATTGAGCAGTGGAGACATGTAAAAAGTTAGCATTATGATTGGAATTTAAACTCTAAAGCTACTTGGGAGCTGATGAAAACATGTTTGCTGAAATGATGTATTAGGACTGTTACTCAAAATATGGTAGCCTTTGATATAGGAGATGCCTACTATCAAGGTCTGGTTAAGTTTCAAGTAGGACTCCCTCATGACTTCCTAAGTTCACCAGTCTGGTTAGAGATGAGATGCTTTATTGAAGGACTTAAGTTCTTCATAGCAACTTTTTAAAAAAGGACCAAAATCTTTCTTAATTTGTTTTGGTCAGACTAAATACTGTAATAACCTGCTATGCCACACCCAGGAATATGTGATACAGCAAGCATGCTTTTAAGTGCACAGGTGGGACCTACGCAATGACTAGTGCAGACAAGGGAGGCAGAGTCTGCTGCCCTGGAGCAGGCTGGTGGGAATAAGTGAGAAGCCTAGGGCCCTGGCCTGGGTTTTTATAGGAAAGGAGGTTTAGGCTCCCAGCAGGTAGAGAGCAGACAGGGACTCTTGAATAAAGCCCATATACCCAAATGGGACATCCTCGATGAAAGGCTGTTCAAAAACAACAAAAAAAACCAAACAGCTTCTCCTACAGCCAGGTGGTGATTCAAAGGCTGGCCTGGCTCAGAGTTCAGGTTTCCTGCAGAGCAAACCTAGGAGGCTTCATGGGGCCTTCCTCAACCTGGACAGAAGACAGGTGCATCTGAGATCTGGGTCTAATTCTAGGACAGCTGCTGTAGCTTGATGTCAGTTGTGCACATTAAGGACATAGGAAGTACTAGCTTCCAAGTAGGTAGGAGAAGTAGAAGTAGAATAAGGAGAAGAGAGATCAAAGGCAATTCCAGAGAGGGTAGAAGAAGACAGATCATATGTGACTGAAAGCAGCATAAGAAGTAGAAAGATGCTCAGATAATCAGAACATAAATGATTAAAAACAGTGAAATGGTTCCTTTTAAGAACATCTAAAACATAAACAGAAGGGTTATGAGTGGAGGGGGTTGACATTCTGAGTATGAGCCCTGAGGAAGACTGTGGGGTGACATTAGTATCAGACAGCATGGGTTTTGCTGGCAAAAGCCACAGCTAGAGACTGTTATGAAGACACAAAACACATTAGCCATAAAGAAAAGGGTAGTTTGCCATGCTGAGACTTGAAGCTAGGCATGGTGGCATGCACCTGAAATCCCAGCGCCCTAGGAAGCTGAGGCAAGAGGATTGAAAGTTCAACCCGAGGCTGAGTAACTTAGAGACTTAGTGACCCCCTGCCTCAAACAAAAAAAAAATTTTTTTTAAAGGGTTGGGCATGTAGTTCAGTGTAAAGGCCCTGGTCTCAATTCCCAGTACTGCTACTACCAAAAAGAAAAAAAGAAAAGGAAAATAAAAACTATTGTATGATATAAGAAAAGCATCCTTAAATGTAAGGACAAGCCACAGGCAGAGAAAATGCTGGAATGTCTGTGACTGACCAGAGATTACTATCTAGAGTATAAAAACTCCTGCAGACTAACCCCCATGAGCAAATGAATGCAGCAGGAATCATGACTCTAGGTGTAGAAACCTAGGACCACTGGTGCACCCCTTAGCCCTTGCTCCACCCTAGCCTTGCTGCAGCTTTTGATCCACAGATGTTGGGTGCAGACCTCTACCCACTCCTGCCAGGTCCCATCCAGACCAACTGCCTCCTGCCTTCCATATATGTCCTTTCCTCCCTCTGCCCTTCAGTTCCAGCCATCCCTACCTCCCCCATAAAAGCACCCACTAATATCTGGGCCACATTCACCTGTCCCCTTCTTCATGTTACAGAATGTATGCATTTCCTGTGATTGGTAGTTGTCTGCACCCCTCCCATCATGCTTATGCACACATGGATGCACACATCGCACATATGCAGATCTGGGACACATGTACAGAACTCAGCTCTGGGACAGCACTGATCTGTGCTTGTCCTCCCAAATGTGTTTGCACTTGGGCCAGGGATATAGCTCAGCGGTACAAGCACCTGCCTGGCAAGCGCAAGGTCCTGAGTTGGATTCCTGGTACCAAAAAACAACAACAAAAAAACCAAATGTGTTTGCACTGTTGTCAGCAGGGATTCAACAGATACTGATGAATGCATGAATGAATGAAGTGCACGATTCACCCTGCAGAAGTCCAGAACCAGGAGTCGGGCGGGTGATGCCAAAGATGCAGCTCTGCTAGGCAGCACCTGTTATGCTGCCCCATGAGCACGTGGTGGGGGCATTCATTGTGTCAGTGGAAGTGTCCCCTGAGAAGGCAGGGAGATGGTGGAGTGGGCCCATTTAGATATCTAATCTCCACAAGTCAGTGGCAGTGGTAGGAGACTGGGTGTGGAGCAGCTGAGCTAGCCTGACAGCCCTCCCTCTGCCCCATCTCTGGAGGATGTTGGGTGCAGACCTGGTGTGACGTGAGTGGCTGTTGACATTGTTCCCTGAAAGGGACGCCTGAGGATGTGGCCTCCTCTTCACTGGCTACTGACAGCAGCAGATGGGGAAAGCGGGCTGTAAAGGGGGCAATTTGACGAAAGGAAATGAAAGCCACCCTGCCCCTTTCCACATACCTGTCACTCGTGTCCTGTGACCTGGTCCCCAGAGTGCCCCAGGTCTGTCTTCATTCCGTCTGTGGGGTAGTTCCAGTCTGGAGTGTCTTGAGGGCCAAGAGGGTACAGGTAAGTTTCCCTCCCCCAGTGATCTTTAGCTTGAGTGATTCTGCTTTGACCACTGCCTCTGCCTAGTGGTGAGGGAGTGCCTTAGACTAAATCCAACATGGCTCTGAGGAGATAAGGTGACTTCATGTGGAAAATCAAGTAGATATTCCCAGTCACACAAGCACATACGAACACATGATTTATTTTACACCAATTCTGTAAGTTTAATACAAACCACAGCATAAGAAATATATCTGGACCCCCTTTTTAAAAAAGAAATATATCTGGAAGCTCTGTTGAAGGCACTGAGATAACAGCACAGAGAGCTGCTTTGTAGTGTCTGCTTAAGACTTTGCCAGGCAGGTCTGGACACTGAGAAGTTCCTTCTTGCAGTAGCAGCTGTAACATATAAAACATAATTTGTATTTATCCTCCCTGTCAGGCCACTCCACAGGCCACTTTGATTTTGATATTCAGCTATTTAGGCAAAAGCTATACACCACAGAAGAACATTCGCCTATAGTTAGTACTGACAGTGATACCCTGAAGTGGAAGTGACCACAGCTGCACCTTGCATAACCCATCATCACCTTCCCATGTAAGTTTTCAGAAGGCACATGATACCTAACTACAAAAGTGCAGATCTGGGGGATCTGCTGCCAGGATCAGCCCTGGTCCTGTGTGTCCAAGGGCCATGGTATGATGTGGCATCTAACCCTGCAAAGCTCAGGTCCAGATGCCCAGCTCAGTGTCTACTAAGCATGGCTTGCAAGCAGCCCATGGCCTGTTCTGAGTCTGCTGTCCCAGCAGGGGACACAGATGAGGCACATGTGAAAGGCTGGGACAAGGCAGGCAGAGTGGCCCAGCCAGCAGGGCTCTCTGGGCTTCAGGGGCCTGCAGCTCTCCTTTGGTCACATGGCTACACTTGGCAGATGTGCAGGAAGTTTCTTAATTCCATCTCCCTGGTCTCATGTTTTTCCAGTTCCCAACACTCCAGACATAGTACCTACACGCACTGCCAGGCATGTTATGTGTGTGCAGTGCCAGACATGTTACATGCACGCAGTGCTGGACATGTTACACAGGTGCAGTGCTGCTGGTCTACTATGCTCTCTGCCCTTGTCCACCCTTTCAGCGATGCTTCCTAGAAACAAGGGCTGGGATGCAGAGGCTGTCTGACGACAGGGAGGCAGCCCAGCCCTCTGGAGAGGGGGCACACAATGGCACATGTGCTTGGCCATGCCTTCTGTGAGGTGCAACAGGTCTGAGTGCATACAGGGCTCTCCACAGCCCAGAGCGGTGCACTGGGTTAGAGCTGGGAAGAAAGAAGGATGAGTCTGAAATCCACCCCTTACAACCCAATCCATAAATGTTCGGAGAGAAGATGTCAGTTGTGTTTGCAAGGAAACGGGTCCAAGCGGACCCTGGGCCAGCAGGAAGGGAAGGTGAGGCAGGTGCCACCATCTCCATTCCTGCTTCAGGCAAGAGAGACAATGGCGGAGGTGGAGGGCATGAATGTGTGTCACACCCATGACAGCACAGCTTCTTTGTCACTTTTGAAGGCTGCTGTGGTCTGGGCAAAGATGTAGAGGCCCTGAGTGACTAGTCTTTCAAACTGGTGCCTGTGTGAACACCCACAGCCCTCTCTTGGGCCCACCATGAGTCCTCCTGAGAGTCAGGCAGCTCAGGAGCTAGGCAGAAAATGTCTGCCAACCCAACCCAAGTTGTGACAAAGCAGATGTGTATCTGCTAAACAGTGTCCACAGAAAATAGGGGCTGAGGCCTGGCTCCCCAAAGTCACAGGTTATGGGGAAAGTAAGTCTGTGCTGAAGAGATGAGGAGGAGGAGAAGCAAAAGTCCCAGTCCTGCAGGCTCCTGCCACACCCAAGACCTCTGGAGAGGGAGGTGGGTAGCTGCTGCAGCAGGACCCAGCCTTGCTGCTGGCTCCCTCTACTCATAGGCCCTGCACCAACCAGGGCAAAGCACCCATGGGGAGAGCCTGAGCTGTGCCACCGTGAGTTACCTTGAGGGTGAGTATGGCAACCTTCCTTTCTGAGGCACTCTTTGAATCCAGGTTTCCTATTACCTGAGTTGATTGTCTCCTGTTAAAATTTTTAAGGCATATCAGACACCTAAGTCTTCATAGGGTGATGGTGGGGCCCTCATTGGAAAGTGCTATGCCTAGCAGCCAGGGAGGATGGCATGGCCTCTTGCTCTTTCCTCTGCTGCCGTTTGCTGTGCCCACTGACTGATGCTATGAGCTCCACTGCATGATGCGCCAGGGACAGAGACATCCCAGAGCTGTCCTCAGGTCAGGAAAACAAGGTGAGATTTCTAGAAGGAACAGGGTATTACCCTGTCCACCTCCATACTGAGGGTGGCCTCAGACTGACTGGGAGCACTGTGGGGAAGGATGAGAGCTGGGGTGGCAGCCTCTTTCTCCCGGAACTGTTTAGGTTGTACCACGGTGGGCTCACTACCATCCTCCCTCACGGGGTCCTCTGGTTACTCTATGCTGCCATCTGCCATCCCTTGGCTGCCACATGGTGCAGGTAGGGGGCAGCAGAGAGCTGAGAAGCCAGGGAGTCCTCTGGACTGGGCTTGCGGCCTCTTGGGCACTGGATACTGTTGGCTGCTTCCTCAAACATTTTAATTCTTCAAAGAAATACTGTCCTACTTGAATAGGCTGTATGTAAGAACCTTCATGATATCAATTTCAGAACACACTTCTGCCCGTGCTCCCATGTGGGGTCAGTTGCTGGCTGCACTCCTGAAATTCTACAAAGAGTGGCACTAGATCATGTCCCCCATCCAGGGGCTGGGAGCCCAGCCACAGCAGGTCTGAGTGTGGATGCAGGTGGTCTCCAGGAGGGGTGGCAGCAGCTCTACAGCAGAAAAGGAGCCTCAGCAGCTCTGGGCGGAATCCGCATGGCAGAAGCACTTTTGGGGAAGATGCCAGGTACAGCACCCCGCCCAGTTGCAGCCCACGGGGGTGAGTCTAGGGGCTCACGCTTGACAGTGGTTGTTACCTCCGATGCCCTGCACTCACTGCAGCCCAGGGTACAGAGGTGCGTCGGCCCCAGCTCCAAACAGGTGCTGTGCATAGGGTAGAATGGGCCCAGTTCCCGGCAGGGCCCGGCAGTGACCCTGCTCTGAGGGTGGGCTGCCAGCATGCCCAGGCTGAGGGGCTGGTTGTAGACCTGGTGCCCACAGTCTGGCTCTGCTTTCAGGTGCATTCTGGTGGGGAAAGTGGCCAGATGTCTCTTGGCGATGTCACTGGCTCCTAGCCACACCTGGCTAGGGGTGCAGCCTTCTGTTGTGTCCTCTGACCCAGAGTCATTTTCCATCTTGATTGGTACCTCCAGTGGCAGCACAGGATTGCATGAGGTGCCTGGGGGCATTGGCAGGCCAGGAGGCTTTGCATCCTCTGTGCAGTAGCCCCCAGGGGTGAAGCACTGCATTCTAGTGCCACAGGTAGGTGGGGGCAGCTGACCCTGACAGATATCCCGCCAGGCTCTGCTCATCCGGCTACAATAGGTGTTGGGAACATGGCCTGGAGGATTTCTGAAGGTAGCCAGGCTGCTGGCACTAAACGTGCCCTCAGTGCCTGGGTGGGGCATGCAGGAGCCCAGGGAAGTGGTGCACATGGAGAGGGGCTCGTTCTTGCCTGGCAGTGGCTTCAGCTTGGTGCCACCATCCTGCCCACACTTTTCTGTCATCCAGTTTGGGTACCTTCCAGGCACTGGTGTCTCTGAGTGGCAGTTGTTCACATGTGCCTCCCTCCGTGTCCTCCCTCCTATGGAGCCACTCAGCATCCTGTCCTGCTCTGTTTCTTCCCTGTCCCTGCAGAGAGAAGATGGATATAGGACAGAGGGACTGAGACATGGTACGGAGTGAGGGTAACACTGGCTAAATCTGCTGGGCAGCTGTGAACCAGGCCCAAGCCTCAATGTCCCTTTCAGCTTCTGGCAGCCTTAGAGGCAGTGTAGAACTGCCTCTCCACACACCTCATCCCTCTCACCCCCTTACCCAGGGCCTAGTGGGGATCAGAGGGCAGTGGGTTGTAGGAAGTGGCCACTTCTCAAGGAGGCCTCAGCCACACAGGTCACAGCGAATGTTGGGGAACAAGGGGGGTATCACACTGAAATGCAGACCAACACAACATTGCGTGCATCAGGCTGGCTCCCCTGTGATGAGAGACATTGACTAGGATGACATGCAGCATCTAGTCTCGGAAGGGACACCAGCTGGTCAGGACGGGAGTGGCACAGCTTGAGGTAGGACAGGCAAGTGGCCTGAAGGACGGACAGAGAGACTGTGGATGCTGTCCAGACTGGGACAGCAGTGGAGCACTGGTAGGAATCCAGGTCCCTCTCTTCACAGTGGCCTCAGGATGACTCCAGCAAGGGGTGGGTAGTGTGGCACCACTTACCCTGTGGCCCCCTTGGAATCCAAGATGAGGTCCGTGCCCCTGAGACAGGGGCACCGGGCTCTGGCTGGAACCCGGGCCCAGTGGCCAGCGTCTGTTTGTGCCCTGAACACTGAGATGCTGTTTTCACCATTGTTCCTTCCTGTTGGGGTTTAAGAAAGGAGAAAGCAGTAACCATGTGAATGGAGGAGTTGTGCTGCTCTGGGCTTGAAGAGGACCTGGGTGACAGAAACAGGTGCTGTCCCCTTGGGATGTACCCTGTGACCCACCCACTTGGCACTTCCTTGGAATACTCAGGATTTCTGCAAAGTATGGGGAGGGGACAAGGAAGAGGTCTCCAAGGGACAAATGCCCATTTTACCCATTTAGAAAAAAATGAGATTTGGAACTTTAAACAGTACCTGCTAAGTAGCTGGGTTTTCCAGGAAGCTCTGATTCACACAGACTCATGGTCAATTTTGCCCTGTAAAGAACAGATCATAGGCAAATAACTGGTGGAAGGAATTAATGATGGCCGGCATTGCTGGCCTGTCTGCCTGAGAGGCAAAGATAGAAGCAGTAGCTCACACCTTGCAAGTCTTTATAGCTCGTAAACAGATTCCTGAAAATTCTCAATCATGTCACTCTATGTGCCAATAAAATGCAAAATAATTTGCTTTAGAATGTAGATGCACATATGATGGAGACCACTATGATGCTGCAGTGGCTCTGAGCGGTATTTAATATTAATCAACTGGCTTTTCATGTTTTCTTCTGAGTTTGTCCACAGCTTAGGCCCCTTGTCTAGAGATGGGCAGTGAACTCACAGTAAGTGAATCTCTGTGAGTCATTGGTCCCTACTGATTGAAGCCTGTAGTGGCCAGTAAAGCAAAGGATAAGACAAGGCCACAGCTAAGGACACCTGGCTCCAACCTTAATTAACTACATAAAGACTGTAGATGCAGGCATCTCACTTCTGGGTGGAGGCCTTCCTGGAGATAATGTAGTTCTCCTAAGTTAACATAACATCTGACTTGGAGAAGTCCTTGAGAGCATCCCAGCCTTTCTTCATTATTCCCTTCCCTTGTTCTGATAACCAAATAAATAGGGCCTCCCAGAGAAGACCTTTGTCTTAGCCCCCAGAGAATCTCAAATTCTGTTACAGGGTTTTGATCCTCCTAGAGCCCTAAAATCATACCACTTGACTCATTCATTTAAGCCTTTGCTGTCCACTCATTTGGGAGATTGCGGGCCTGGTCAGTCTGCAGTTACTAAGGGATATTATTAATGCATTATGCATATAAGGTGGTTTTTAGAACTCATGTATTTTCTTGGACAGCTAAAGATGGTCTATTCTTGTGTTCTAGGAAGTCACCATGAAGGACCAAACAATTAGGAAGTGTCCATGTGTTATCTTGAATCATTCTTATGGCTTCTACTTTACTTTTTAAGAATGAAAAGGTGGGGCTAGGGAATATAGGCACAAGCACCTGCCTGGAAAGTGCAAGGTCCTGAATTTGATTTCTGGTACCAAAAAAAAAAAAAAAAAAAAGTCAAAAACACAAAATAAAAAAGTATATTCTGTAGCCAGACGTGGTGGTGCACACCTGTAATCCTAGCACTAGGGAGGATCATTACAAATTCAAGGATCATTACAAATTCAAGGATCATTACAAATTCAAGAACAGCCTGGGCTACAAAGTAAGCTCAAGGCCAGCCTGAACTGCATAGTGAGACACTGTCTCAAAAAGACAAAAAAAAAAAAGAACTAAAAGGTGGCTTGCCTGGTGCTGCCCCTGCTAGGAGTGCCAGAATTGGGGTTCAATCCCTGTCCAGCTGGTGGGCCTTTCCATAGGGGGGCAGTCTCTGCAGGGAGATCTGGTGGGCCTCTGGTGGGGAGGTACAGTGAAATCTCATTTATGCCGTGTGGGTAGTCACAAAATTGTGGCTAGTACTGATTTGGGGTTGTTTTGCTGGTTTTGGGGGGGGGGGGATTTTTCTCTTTTTTTTTTTTTTTTTTTTTTTTGGTACCAGGAATAGAATCCAGGGCCTTGTGCTTGCTAGGCAGGTGCTACACCACTGAGCTATGTTCCCAGCCCTTGAATTGGGTTTAGAAAGAAATTTTAGCAAGTAGAAAAATCACACAGCAGATTCCTGGAGTAAAGAAGAGCAACCACCTGTGACAAAGCCAGCAGGGACAGCTGTGAGCTACATTATGCTTCCTACAACCACTCACTGTATGTCCTCTCCCCTGACCACTGCATGTTCCCTCCTGTAGGAGCTGCTGCCTCCAACCTGACCCCTTGTTGCTGCACTTAAGTGGACGGCCAACTGTGGGGTACATGGTGGAGACCAGCTTTAAACTTGTTTCAGAGCAGGTGGTGTGTTCCCAGTCCTAGGGTGAGGTGGGGGGTCCATATTCTCCGCCCTCCTTACTCCTGTTCTCCTCACATGCCTGTGCGCCAGTGCCTCCCAAGCCCTGGTCAGGAAGGGTAGGGATCCAGCACAGAAAGAGCAGTCGGGGACCAGCGACCTGCACTGTGCCCACCTGGGCCCCAGGGCAGCCAGTAGCACTTCCTACCTGGGCCCAGATGGAGGAGACTGTTTAGAACTCCCCTCAATTTGATTTTAGGGTAGGAAAACATACAAGAAGCAGAAGGCTCATTGTGACTCAGATAAAAACAGCCAAATCAGCTTTAAAAACAGAAAACTCAGCTAGTAAAGGTACAGGGCATCAAGGGTACTGGGAAGGACCCACCTGGCAGCTGCAGAGTCTCACACCCTGGCCTCACCCTGAGCTCTGCATAGGTGATGTCCACCTGGCAGGTGTGAAGCTCTGGCACTGGCTTTGCCACTTATCCTTGTACCTTCTTCCTTTAGTGTTTTTCCTTTCGTGTTTTGTACGTTATATCTTTAAAAACATGAGTTTGATCCTAGAATATCCCACAGTCTGCTCTTCTCAGCACTCTGACCAGAGGCCAGCTCCATTCACTATGCATACCATGCAAGGCAGTGAGGGCAGACCCAGCAGATGACCTGAGCAAGTGCAGGAATGAGGATAAGGGGGATGATGGGTGTGGAACCACAGAGGAGGACCTCACATGGCCCTGATGTCTACATGGAGCTCAGGGAAGATGAGGGTGAGTTGTGATGTGGGAGGGGGTAGACTCACACCTTCTAGGGGAACCACCAGCATCACATGGGAACTCCTGCAGCAGGGGCATCTGGATGTCAGGTGTGAGACAGGCCCGACACCTACTACCCATGGGGCAACCAGTTTCCACAGAGGACAGAGGCAGGCAGGTCAAAGTAGCCCGTGCAGAGGGAGGGGAGCCACACCAGGCAGTCAGGGCTGACCCAGGTTTGAATCTGACAAATGAGATTTAATGTTAAAAAAAGAGTTGAGGGGTGCAGATAGAACTAAAAGTCAAAGTAAAGCCCAGAACAGACAGGTCTAACAGACCCACAGCTTAAGGAAACAGGACCAGTCTGCTGCTAGTGATGGTATTACTAAAGGTAGAGTGCTCAGAACAAAGGAGAAGAACACTACATCCAGACTGCATTGCTGATACACTGTGAATGTTCCTGTAAAGTCATCTGGATTCAGAAGTACCTGGAAATCATGATCAGAGCAATTGTGCAGCCAGGGGAAGGGGTTATAGGGTTTCCATCAGCAGTGCAGGGAGTCTGCTAGGCACTCCTCTGAATGCCACGTCTGGTCTGTGTGACAGCAGGTCTCTGTCTCAGGGATCTGTGCAACCTGGACAAATTGTGCCTGGGCCATAGCAGGTTCAAACCTAGCTTAGCTCACTGAGTTAGTGACCTGCTATGGCTTCTTCCCTACTCAGTCTGTACAACCTATGAAGTGGGAAATCATAGACAGGTGCTTGGGCAAGACACGCAGACCTCTCTAAGAGGAAGTGCAGGCCAAGGGAGTGAGACCAAGGCCAAGGCTGGCTGCTAACTGGTCACTGGACCTGGTCAGCAGGGAGCCCATCAGGGACAGGACAGATAGGGTCTCTGGCTCCCAGCCTCTAACCAGGGACCTCAGGGCAGGGATAGGTGTGGGGTGGGCACGGAGGTACCATCCCAAGGCACCGCAGACATATGAGGAAGGGGCAGCAGGCTGAGTGCCGCCTCTTACAGTGGCCGACAAGGTGCAGCTGCCTCTCTGGAAGCCGAGCAGGTGGGGAGGCGGCTCAGGGGATGCCAGTCCAAAGGCTCCGGGTGCACTGGATGCAGTCAGTTCCTACTCACCTTGCGTCTGTCATGGGTGCCGCATCTGTCCTGTGCTTCACCCTCAGATATGTGCTCTTAATTTTCATGTCTGCTGTGGAGGGCAGGAGGACTGGCACCACGGTACAGAACAATGAGAGCTGTGGGGGCAGGGCTGTTCCTGATGGTGCCTTCTTCCTCTGTCCCAGCAGGAATCTTAGTTTTCCTTGAAACTGCATTGTCTAGTATTTTAAAAACAGAAATCTGTGATGATGGAGTGAACTGGAGGCTTGGGGAGGATGCAGAATTCGGGGTGTGAGATGGCTAGCTGCAGGCACAGACATGCAGAGAGGGCCCTCAGGAGACACCAGCCTTGCTCTGCACCCCAGTCTGTAAGCACAGCCTCAGGACCACCTGGTCAGCTTCTGCCTTTCACCCCCTGACCATCCACTCTTCCTTCCCTCTCTTCCTCCATCCCACCATCCTTCCAGTTTTCCACTCATCTTTCCGTCTTTCCTTCCAGGTTTCCACTCACCTCCTAAGCACTCCTTCCATAGGTTTATTGAGGACACAAAACATTTGTAAGCCCTGACTGAGCATCAGTCACATACCTTGTACAGGAGAACTCAAGGCAATGTTATGCTAGGAATATTTAACATCCAGATTTCCCGGGGAAAAGCATCCCAGGTTTGCAGTATTTGCCAGATTTTAATGTAAATATTCATGCTGTGGCTGGTTTCAAACTATCAGCCTAAAAATCAATCAAATCTAAAAATTCCTGCAGTCCTAACAGTGGGGTCTGTAGGTGGCACAAAGCACTGCCCAGACAGGAGTAGGAGCCCGTACCCTGCTTCCTAGAAGAGAGTGCTCTGAAGGATATGCATGTCAGTTTTAATTATTTCATCTGCCTCACCTCCTTGGCTTGCAGTGGTCTCCCATTTCCACTCACTCACCACACTCATGTAGCCTGGGGGTTGCCAGGCCTTGTACTGGTGGCTCGTGCAGGTAGAGCTTAGGTGCAGGGTCACCCTTACCCCAGGGCACAATGCACCCGATGCTGGCTGCCTTGTGGATGGGCTAGGTCCCCATGTAGGGCTCCCCTCACTTACCAGAAAGCCGGAGGTGCTGTCCAGCAGGCAGCGTACTCGGCAGATGAAGCAACGAGTCAGGAAGGCTGAGTACTCTGGAGGCGAGCCCATACCCCCTTCCTGGGCCCTGAGGAGCCTCCTCAAGACTGTGTCTTCTGCTGCCATGGCAGTGCAGGGGCGTGGCAAGGAGGCAGAGGCCATGACCGAGAATGAGAAAGACATCAGTAATCTAGTGGGATGTGTGCAGCCAGTGCAAGGTGTATAACACACTGCCCCAGCTGCACAGTTCACATCAGTGCACAGCCCCTCCTACCTCGTTGTTCTACTGGATTTTGCCCCCATTGCCCCTCTCTCCCGCTCACTTAAAGGCATGGAATTTCAGTTTGGCTTGTTTGACCTTCATGAAATGATAAGGATGCAGGCACCTGTGGCCTGGATTTTGCATTCAACTCACTAAGGTGAATGAATCATGCAGCTCCATGGTGTTGTGGTGGAAACTTCTCTATGAGTTATTCGGGGCCCATGGATGTGTATGGAAACCCCAGGGAATGTCCCTGTGCAAAGGACCCCCAGGCTGATGTTATCTCCCTGGCATGGACTTGTCTGTCCCCTCCAAGCTCACCCATACCTGCTGCCTATCAGGAGTTTGACACCTGCTAAACTTGGGGCAAACAAAAACTTGGAGGGGAGGCAGTTCCCTGGGGAGGCATGCACAATGGCACTATGCCGTCAAGACTCTTGGTACATCTGGATTGGCAGAAAGGCTTCCTGGCAGATAGGAAAGGGTTTAGACACCAAGATCCAAGTGTTGCAGCTCTAACAAAGGGCCAGAACCTGGATCTTAAGCACATGTTCATCCCCCAAGGTCACTGTGCTAAAAGCTTGATACCTGGCCACAACACAGTACTGCTGGGAGGTGGCAGAAACTTGGGAGTCAGGGCCTCATGGGAGGTGTCAGATCCCTGGGGTCAATCCTCAAAGGGGACCAAAGGGAATCGCGAGCCCTATCCTTCTGCTTCCTCTCAGCCCATCCTGGTCATGAGTTCAGTGGTTTTGCACCACAAGGTCCTTCATCCCACCAGAGTCCTAGAAGCCATGTCTCCCCCAAAACCATGGTCTGAAACTGCCAAAACTGTGGCCCAAAATAATCCTTTACTCTTCACAAGTAGATTATTTTGGGTATTTATCACAGTGGTGGAGGACTGACGGATACATGAGGGAGGTGCTCACAGCACTATAGGATGGACCAGCTGCGGGACCATATAGCCTGTTGGGAAGGTTGGCTCTGGAGCAAGCAAACTCCAATGTGTAAGCCAGTGTGGACGGTAAACGACAGCCAGGGCATCCAGGGCTGCACAGAGCTCCAGATGCACTGACCCACCTGTCTCCACGTGTGGAGGCTGTCCACACCTCGCCTGTGGGGGATCCATGGCCCAGTGGAGCTGCCGGCAAAAGTCCTGGCGGTCATCCACATGGATGTAGTCATAAATGTTCTGATGCATTACATCTGTCTGCAATATTGAAACAGTTGTTTTAGCCTGACCCTGAATTTGCATACCCACTCCAGCCATTGTAAACTACAGCATTTCCACTCCATCAAAAGCAAGTCATAGGGGCTGGGGATTTAGCTCAGCGGCAAAAAGCGCCTGCCTGGCAAGCACAAGGTCGTGAGTTCGGTTCCCGGTACCGGAGAAAAACCAAAAAAAAAAAAAAAAAAAAGCAAGTCATGCCTGTGCAGGGCCCCATGGGAAAGGCCTTGAGGCCACCACCACAAGGCAAAGACACGGCTCCCTGGACCTCCCAGCCCAATGCCAGATGCACCCCAGTAGCCCCCGGCAGCTGGGTGCTCAACTTAGGCTGAACGGGGGCGCTCAGAGATGGGATGTCTTGGCACATACATGTTGCCTGAGGTGCCCACCTTGCTAAATCACCTCTATCTTATGGCATCTGTGTGTTCCCCAAGGCATGTCTCATGTCCTCTATGACTTCCTGTTGCCTGGAACCAGGCTCAACCTGCCTGAGTCTGAGATGCCTTGGCTACTGGCTAGCTCACAGGCCTCTGTCTGGTCCTCTATCCTCCTACCTCCTCAGGGCAGACTGGGCCTGAGGCGACACTCATCTCCACAGGCACAGGGCCCTTGTTGGAAGGCTGGTCTGGTGGTTGGAGCCTAGACCAGGGTTGTGAAGGCTGACTTTGGGGGACTCAGCTCCTCTGGTGTGGTAAAGTGTTCTTCGAGGGTGTGGGTAAATCAAGACAGCCCATGCAGGTCTCCTCTGCCCTCCACCTTCTCTGATGAGTGAGGCTCCTTCCTGCATTCAGAAGCTGGCCAAACATCTGCCAAGGACTACTGGAGTACTGTGGGACTGGACTCCTTCAGAACATGCCCATCTCTGAATGTAAACACTTCTGGACTGACTGGAGGAAAAGTCCCTTACCAATCATAACCTCAAAAAAAAATCTTCCCTTTTAAGAATGTAATGAATATACTCACCAGGGTGGATGAGATCCACCATCTTTTCCAGAGAGCCCATTATTCCTGGACAAGCCCCATGAGGTCCCAAAATGTTAAATGAGATGCACCTCAGAAGCAGGCAAAGGGATGCAGCCATAGCGAAGACTTGGACTTCATCGCCTGGCACCCTTAGTGTAAGGGAAAGTTCCTGTGATGGTTGTATCTAGACGTTCCCCCAAAGCCTCATGCAGTCATAGGTGGGGAGTTTTAGAGCTCGCTGGATCTAGGGTGTGTAATGCTGGAATTAAGGTGCCCCACCCTGGGCATGGGTGGCACTAATCAATAGGTTTATATCCTGGGTAGAACATAAGGGCTGCTTCTGCTGTTTCTCTGCTGCTCTTTGCTACTTTCTGCTTTGCTGCCTTCTGCCTGCTATGGATGGTTTCTCTTCTGTGATGCCCCTCTGCCATGCCACCTTGCCTTGGAACCAGCTGACTATGGACTGAAATCTCTCCAGACTGTGAGCTAATAAACCTTTCCTCCTTTAACCTTGGATATTGGGTATTTTGTCTCAGCAACAAGAAAAGTAACTAAGACAGTTCCCTTAAAAAGAAGAGTCAAGAGGGAGCTCAGAGGAGAGGCAGAGAGGGGCTGGGTAGCTGCTGTCCTTGGTCATGCTGCCCAGGTCAGGGCTCTGGAGTGGTTGTGGGGCCAAGGGGCAGAGGCCCCTATGGCGCAACTGGATACTTCTGCTCACCTGGCTTCTTTTTTTTTTTTTTTTTGGTTTTTCTCCGCTACCGGGAACCGAACTCACGACCTTGTGCTTGCCAGGCAGGCGCTTTGCCGCTGAGCTAAATCCCCAGCCCCTCACCTGGCTTCTTAATGAACTTCTATGACTAAAGTAGGACATAGAAGCTGTGCTCCAAACATCGCCTGCTCACAAGAATGGGACTACCAACCAGGACACAAGGTGCTGCACCAAATGGTGAGCCGTGCCCCACACCAAAGGCTAATATGCCAATAGGACACTGTTTCCTTTGACGTCTGTGTCTCACAGCCATGAGACTGGCTTATGTACAGTAGCAGTGTCCCAGTTCCACATGGTGGTATTTTGCTGCCACCACAGTGCTGCTCTCTGGCTGGTGGACGTGGCTGTCTCCCATGCTGCACTCCATAGCTGCTGTGCCTGTACACGACTGAGTGGCTGCTGCATCACTGGTTCGTCTCCAGAGTGGTGCAGGTGCTGGGCCTGCTGTGGTAACCTCCCCTTCGCTCCCTGTGCACACCAATGCTTGGCACTTCAGCCTTTCAGTGGATGTGCAGTGGCATCTTACTGTGGCTTTAATTTGCCTGTCATGAGGATGAGGTCTGTTCATGTGTTCCTTGGTCTTGTGATGTATGTGTGTGAGAGTGTGTGTGTGTGTGTGTGTATACTGTGTGCTTGCTGCTGAATTATCATCCTCGTGGATCCCACTGAGCTGCCTGCTCATGTGTTCTTGTCTGCACTCTGCTAAGGACATCTCCCACTGCCCAGTTGCCTGCCCACTTTTCTCAGGGTCTGCACAGTTCCACTCATGGTGTTCAGTCTCGCTTAAGACATCTTTCCTTACAGGAGTTAGAACTTACCCTGCCATCTTCTAGAAACTTCTTTCATCTGCCCAATAGTTAATCTAGTATGGTGTAAGGTAGAAGATAAGATTCCTTTTTTCTCATTTGGATTCAGTTTTCCCAGCACCATTTGCCGGAATGAGCATACTTCCCCTCTCCCAGCAGCAGTGGTATTGGCCAGCAGTCCCGCTCAATGGCTCTAGATGTCTGCTGCACAAGTTATCCAGTCTTGAGTCCCCAGTCTCAGGAAGCTGTGCTTCTGGCAGCAGCACAGCGCCCCAACAAGCACCACTGGCTTCCCTTTCCTCCTTTTTCTGATGGCCTCGGGTCTTCTCAGCCTCTGTACTTCCATGGAAACTTTAGAAATTAATATGTCCCTGCCCATCAGAAAGTTGTTCAGTTTTTGTTATAATTTCATTAACTCTACAATTTGATTTGGAAAAAATTGGCATCTTCATAATTATATTGAGGTTTCCAATTCATAAACACAGTACATCACTTGGTGTGTCTGGTATGGGCTTAATTTCTTTAAAAATAATTGTTTTTGTACATGTGTAGGTACTGTATGTCATTTGGCAGATTTGTTCCTTGGGATTTGGGGTTTTAATACTATTTGGGCAGCTTTCTTCCCCCTGTGTTTTGATTTATGTGCTATGGGGTGAGCCCTAAGTGGCGCAGTTGTGCTGTTTGAGTGAGACAAGAGGCTGGCAATGCTCCTTGTGCTGCTCTCTCCACAGTGCTTGTGGGTGACCCACAGCTCCGCTCAACTATGGCACAGCTGTGACCTGAAGGCCCATGGGACCCTGGAGGGCCTCACCCTTGTCCACACACCCTCATTAGTTATGAAAGGGGCATGGAGGTGTGAGTATAGTAGAACTGGAAAATCCATTTCTCAGGCAAATTTGGAGACGGGGTGAAATGTGGCAGCCTGAGGTTGAGGAAACAAAGTTCTGTATTTCAATGCCTAGTATGACCCGTCTGAGTGCCCCACATCCTTCCTGATCTCTTGGTTGCACAAAGTGATGTCAGAAGGAATAAGCAAGAGGACAGCAGACCATGTGATGGGGAGGCAGAGTGGCAGGATGGCTCCTTAGATGGTAAAATAAACTCCTATTTAATTGCGTGAGTTCAGTCTTCATTTCAGCTTTGAACCACCATTTGTGGATCTCAGAATGAAAGCATTCCTGGCTTAAACAGCAGAGCATTCCAGCAGTCATTTTTACCTCTGTGCAAACTGTGCACCCATCTATTCTCACGGCTGTAGGGTCGCATCTGCTCAGATCACTAAGCTGTCTCACTGGTTCACTCAGGGACAGCTGCCACCGTGACTGTGAGGGCATAAGCAGCTTTCTGAGTAAGTGTCAAGGTGGCTAAAACACGCCTGGTTGCCCCAGGTGTGCTGACACAAAGACATGGACAGCATGCTTGGGCTGCAAGGGTAAGGAACTGGCTCCTGGTTTTCTGCAAAGTATCAGGCAGGAGAAGCTCATAAGAGCACAAAGCTGCCATAACTCTTTCATGAAATGTTTGCATAAACTTGAGGCAAGCCCTGATTTAATGGCATTTGAAAAAAATTTCTTTATAATAAAAGCAAAACTGTTTTTCACTTCTAATGCTTGGGGTAAAATAACCAAGCTCCAAGAAAACAGCAGATCCAGTGAGCAAGTTCCAACCCACAGCTAGAGCCACTAACACTGCACCTGCCTCTGTCCCCAAAGCCAAACTTCATGGTGCAGCTGCCAGTTCCAGCTAAAGGAAGCAGCTCTGTCTGCATGAGGATCCTGAGCCATTCAGCAGACAGGGACAGGAACAAAGAAACTGAGCGTGCAGAACGCAGGCCCTGCACATACAGCCACAAAGTCTTCATTCAGTGTTATCCATGCTGGGAGCCTGCTTATGTCACTGTCACATCCCCAAGCTCTGCACTATCATGGGCACCTGTACTCCACAGCAAGGGAGGCATTGAACCTCAGCAAACAGCTGCTCTTTCTGGTCTTCTCTACTCTCCACAGTGTAAGTGAAGTCCACAGATTCCCATGCAGGACTCCGGGATAGGTATCTTCTCGGGGTGAAGGACACAGTGCTACCATCCAAGGTTCCCCTGAGGATGGACACATCACCAACAGCAGACCTGAAGTGTCAGGTCATCAAGCGCAGTCAGAGGAATGCTGGCACCCTCTCTGTGAGGTGGGGGCACCTTTCCTAGGCACCAAGAGTTCTTCCTTCCATGAGGCCCTAGCAGCAGCTAGGGAAGCAGACAGCACACTCTGTGGACATAGGAATTGAGGCACAGTGCAGTGCAGTGATTGCAGAGCTGGCAATGCCAATCCTGCTTCCCCCTACATCCTCAACAGAGCAGCTGCTGGAACCCTGGGGGTTTGGTTAATGGCCAGCATTCATGCTGCCTACACACAGCTGTCCCCTCTGACCTTCCACCCCTCCACCACAGGCTGATTCAGGTCTGGTGCTGAGCTGTGTCTAAAGGCCTGGAGGAAGAGGCTACTAGGGAACAGGTGAGGGTGAGCATACAACACTGCACACAGCTCCTGAGACAGAGGATAGAAAAGCTGTGCGGTGGGGTAAGAAGTCCCTGGGTTCTGCAGGGACTGGACATGGGCTCAGGCGGCGGGAAGGCAGATGTACGAAACTGACACAGCTACTTCAGTTTCTGGAAAACTATTCAAAATTGTAGTTTTCTTGGAAATTAGATAAAACACTCCACTGGCCTCAGGCAGATTTTAACAACGTGTCAGAGACCTACACACTCAGATCTTGGCTTTCACTGCCTTTGGCAGTGCAGCCCTTGGCTTTCTGCCCAAACACAAGGTTTGGTTTTAATCACTCTATGCATTGCCTTGCTGCCCCACACTTCCTTCTGGGTGCCTATCCCAGCTCCTGGAGCATCTTCCTTCTGCTGGCAGCAGCTGCAGCAGTGAGGCAGGGTCCTGCCCCAGGGGCCCAGCAGGATCCTTCCAGTGTCTGCTATACCATGGATGGGGGCACCCTCCAGCTGCTTCCCTGAAGCCCTCTTGACCTCCACAGAGGGCAAGTCCTGGCCAGCCTGGAGGATACCTCAGTGATCTCAACCACCAGGGCCATGGCCTAACCTGCACCCACAAGGGTCTGGCACTCAGATTTGAGGGTCCCCAGGATGGACCCCTTGAGTGCCTGCTGCTCCTCCAAATGCTGCTGTGCTTTGGGGCTCCCTTTCTCCTTATTACTAAATCCATGTCTGAACCTACCATCCAAGGTTCCCCTGAGGATGGACACATCACCAACAGCAGACCTGAAGTGTCAGGTCATCAAGCGCAAATTCCTTATATTAAACTGTGAGATGACCGTACTCTAAATCAATCCTAACTAACATCCTATCTTCTTTATTTTCCAAAGTTCTTTTTTTTGTTGTTGTTTGTTTGTTTGTTTCCGGTACTGGGAATCAAACTCACGCTTGCCAGGCAGGCGCTGTGCCCCTGAGCTAAATTCCCAGCCCCTATTTTCCAAAGTTCTATCTTCTTTTTTCATTATATGCTGTCCTTTCTTTATACCATCTTATATTATTTCCATTACGTTTATTTCCTAGCTCTTTCAGAGCATGCTGTTGTTTCAAGCTCTGCTGGGAGGTGCCAAATCTGTTATTCTGTCTGCTGGCTTCTACTTGCTGTCCATGGCTTCCCCTGTGTGATCTCTGGATTACAAGATCAGCTTCAGAGGACACATGGTGACGGTGGTCCCGGTGCAGCCTGAGGCCTGGATTCTGAGTTCCTCTGTCCAGACTGAGGAGCCTTCCCTTCCTCCCTTGTAGTACAGGATTGGATTCTACATTCCACCTTTCTTTTTCTTTTCTTTTCTTTTTTTTTTTTTTTTTGGTACCAGGAATCGAACTCAGGACCTTATGCTTACCAGGCAGGTGCTTGGGCCACTAAGCTATATCCCCAGCCCTGTACCTTTCTATTTCCTACCAGAGACCTCTATTTTCTTCCAGAGGCCAAGCAGAAAAAGTTCCCTTGTTCCTTTCTGGGCCTTGGATGAAAGTCTTCTTGTACTTTTCTGGGTGGAGTCATCCTTCTAGGGTCCCCATGTTTGAGGAGCCTCAATGCCAGCTCTTGGCCCCAAGGCCCAGAGCTCTCTAACCTGGGTTGGCCTAGTGGCATCCTTCCAGGGTCCCCATGTCTGAGGGGCCTCAATGCCAGCTCTTGGCCCCAAGGCCCAGAGCTCTATAACCTGGGTTGGCCTGGTGGCATCCCACATGGATTACCTGCACATCAGCGAGGGCACTTCGGGAACAAACTCTGTCCTAAATGTACCAAGTGTCTGCAGTTGGAGACTGTGCTGTGGTGGCTCCCTGGCCATGGACACAGCCAGCCTGCGAGGAGTGGCCGATACTGCCGTGCCTCCCACAAACACCAGGAGATGGGCTACTCTAAATAGAGCAAGCTCAGTGACATGAAAAGCTTTGTTTTAGATGTTTCTTAAACCTTCAAGATAATAAACATTTGCAAAGGTAACAGATCCAGCATTTAGCAGAGTAAAAGCTCAATTTTGCTTCATTTACCTGGTGGAAACCCAGATAGTCCACAATTGTTGCTGATGCATAAAATATCATCCCTTCTGCACTCACAACCAGAGCGAAGCCATTGAGAGACTAGAAGAAACAAGAAAATTGAGTTGTCTTTCCAATAGGGGAAAAGGAGATGCAAGGTTTCTGCGTAAATTTTCTGCCACTCCCATTTCACTGTCCACATTCATACAATGCACCCTCCTGACTTTTCAGTACCTTCCACCAATAGGCAGCCAGAAGTTGGCCATGGCTCATGTAGCTAAAGACTTTGTTCTCCATTCTTTAAATGTATGCTTTATGACACACGACATCATCACAATGACATACCAAAGTACCAAACACAAAGGAAGATGGGGACTTCCATTTCACTCTCTGTGACCTTCCCACCCATATCCTCCTTCTGCACACTATCCTGGAACAGTTTTTGAATTTTCTAGAAGTTTTTATCAAGAAAATATTGAACTTTATCAAGTGTTTTTTCTATATCTACTGAAACAATCACCTAGTCTTTCCTTAGTCTCTAACTGATAGGTTTCCTACTGATGAATCCTTCTTGCATTCTGGGACAGACCTGAGGTGATTGTGATTTTTATGTTCTTGCAGTGGGGCAGTCCTCACTAGGAGTCCTCATTTCTGAGATAACACTGACTATGCTTCCCTAATTTTGGTGTCAAGTAACAATCATCTGAAGTTGAATCCTCCCTCTTCTCTCACCTTCTTGGTCTGCTTAGTTAGTATAAGGATGACATGTTCCTTCAAAGTTGGGTTCATTTCACCTTGAATATCATCTGGTTTGGGCACAATTGGGGAAAATGTTGGGTGGAAAAGTCACCCAATAAGTTGGTTAATGTTAATCAATTTATTTAATGATGATTGTTTGTATATCCAAGTTTTAAAATTTTTTCTTACACCAACTATTTTCTAGAAATGTATTCATTCCATCTTATTTTAAAGTTTATTAGAAGGGGCTGGGGATTTAGCTCAGTGGCACAGTGCCTGCCTGGCAAGCACAAGGTTGTGAGTTCAACTCCTGGTACCGGAAGAAAAACAAACAAACAAACAGAAATAAAGTTTATTAGAGTATGTTCACAATATTTTTATGACCATTAAATCTCAGTTATATCCATAATTCTTGTAGGATTGTCCCAGGCAGATAGCTACATCTTGCTTGACTTACAGCCAGCCTCCCTTTATTTGAAAATCAAACTCTCCCTGTAGTGGATTGATAACTGGTGGTCAACTTATAACCCCCAGCTGAACTGAGTGGTGCTGGGTGTGGGAGGCCCACCTGAGGACTGTTGCCAGCAGCATAAGAGGCAGACCTGGAGAAGAAGAAGCAGGCTGTTGGGAGCTGAGAGAGGCTGTTGGGAACTGAAAGAGACCATGGGGAGCTGGCTTTCCAACGAACTTGGCTGTTTTCATCCTCTGAGGAGCTCGGGACCTCGCTGGCACTGAGAATGGCTTCAGTTCACTTTGGGTAGCTCTGGTCCTCACTTTGAGCATAGCTTCCTGGTTCCGGAGGGGAAGATGGTGCACTGCCGGCCTCCTGGAAAAGCTTGCTGCGTTGGCCTCCCTAATGGGAACTCAGCCATCCTGATCATCGGAGGAGCTCGGGACCTCACTGTTGCCGACAATGGCTGTGGTACCTTTTGGGGGAGCTCTGGTTCTTCTGAGCATCACTTCCTGGATCCAGTGCAGATCCCTCAGCCAGCTAGCACAGGTCCTTCATCCTGCTGGCATAGACTTTGTAGATTCTACCACTGACCTTTGGGCCTTCCCAGCAGATCCGTGAAACAGGCCTGCATGAGATATTGTCATGGGCTCTGGGCCTCCAGTTGGATTCGTGGGAGGCATTGTTATGAGCTCTGGGTATTCAGCTCGATTCATGTAGGACATTGTTGTGGGATCCAGGCCCTCAGCTGGATTCCTTGGTCTTAGTGTGTGGACAGATTCCCTGCACTCTTTTGTATACTGTTCTTTGGGTAACTTATAAATAATCATATAAAGTATGTGTCCTGTATTATATTGTTCCCCTTGCAAAATAAGCCACCCCAAACCAACACACTCCCCATTGTGGTAGCCTCCCAGAACCACCACCAATGAAGATGCATGAGATATCAGGGCCACCTAGCTACATGGTCTGCCCTCCACCTGCCCATTATCTCTCCCTCCTATCATTTATCTATCACCTATCTCTACCTATCTCGTGTATATCCTTTCTATCTATCTCTCCATCTACCTATGCATTCTTGCATCATTGTGATTATAATAATAGCACCTCACTCAATCTAAAATCACCTGGTGTGGAGGGCCATTCTATATAATTGAGGGGGAAAATCATTTCATAATTAAATTGTGATTAGGGCTTGTCCAAGGCCTAGTATCTTGCCATGCAGACTAGTTATGGTCTATGGAAACATAACTCCATGTGCCTCTGGTCACAGTTGAGGCCTCAATGGTCCTATGAGGCTGTGACACCCCAGGGCAAGATTACACCACCTGAAGATATCCTGGTTCCTTGAGAATAGAGTAGTTCAAAAAAAGGTTTCACTTGGGAGAAAGGACAAACTTATTAACCTGCCATCTCTCCCCACTGTCCTCATCAACATAAGATCCTTATTAGTTTAAGGTCCCCGCCCACACTCTGAGTCATTGGAAGTGATCCTCGTCAATGTAAGAGCCTTCTCAGCATAAAACCACCACTGCCTCTGACTTATCCAATAATCCCCTCCCTGTTTTCCTCAATGTAAATGGGATCAATAAATACCGAGGTTCTGGCTGCGTCATGACTCCTGTGTTCCACGTGAATAACTGGCCATCCCAGATCTCCACTGCACTGCTATTTGTCTCTTGCTCTTTCTTTTCACAGTGTGCCATAACACTGTGTAGGAAACTGGGGACTCACTGCAGGGGTCCCTGATAACCCGGGACACCACCAGGATGTATGGAAGCTGGGGTCAGGGGGTCGGTTGCACAGCAGCATTCATGTTTCAGTTTGTACCCTTGAAGCAGGGTGTTCAGAGACCGTGACTTCCATGAGCATGTGCAAGTGGCAAAGCACCATAACAGTCATTTCTGTAATTCTTGAACATGCTAGATACCCACCGTCCCTTTTTAGAAATCTTCACCAGTTTTTTTTTGTTTTACAAGTATATGTTTGCAAAACATAATGAAAATCTTGGGGAGCTGGTGCATGTGCTTATCGCACCATGGTCATTTTTACTGCCCCCCCCACTCTCTCATCTTCCTCCTGCCACAATTTACCAATTTGTTAAGTGATAAACTATTTTACTATTACATTTTTCATTTCTTTGACTACTACTGAGATTGAAAAACATTTCACACATTCATTGGAACTCCAATTTCTTCTTTGGCTAACTGTAGGTGTCATGTGCTAATTTCCTTACCAAGCTTTATACATATGTATTAATTTCTAAGAGCTTGAAGACCTGTAGGCAGCCCATGGTCAGGGCTCCACAAAAACCCAGCCCCCTCAATAACTCTGAAAAACAATGAACAATAAGAACAAGTGAAGCTGCACCAACTCAAGCCTTCATTATCACAGGAACACAAAAAGCACAACAGTCTTGGAATCTCACATGAGCATGGTGTCAGCACCAAATCTCAATGAGCATAGAAAGACTGGCACAGAAGAAAACTGTATAGTTCTCAAGGAACTAAAGAAAAAAGAGCTAACTGAATCTAGTGTTAGTACAAGAACAAGTAAGAGGGGCTGGGGATTTAGCTCAGTGGCAAAGCATCTGCCTGGCAAGCACAAGGTCGTGAGTTCGGTTCCCGGTACCGGAGAAAAACCAAAACCAAAACCAAAACAAAACAAAACAAAAAACAAAAAACAAACAAACAAACAAAAAAAAACCAAAAAGAACAAGTAAGAGTGAAAAAAGTCAATGGAAATGCATGGATTAGACCATGTGATGATTGATTAACTGTGTCACCTTGAGTAAGAGCAGTTTAACTAAATCAGTTCAGCAATTCCACACTCTAGGGTGTGGAAGTCCCATCCTAGGGTGGCTTGTCACCTGGATGGTATAAAGGGGAAATGAGGAAGGACAGATCAGCTTCTGTTTCTTCAGGGGAGCTCCAGTCTTCACCTTCACCTTGGACATCATCTCCTGGCTTCCAGAGCAAACTCTTCAGCTTCCTCCTTGGATCTTTCAGCCTTCTGGTGTAGACTTTTCAGCCTTCCATTGCTGACACATTGGCCTCCTGATATAGATTCATACAGGACACTGCAAGCAAGCTCCAGACCTTTGACTGAACCCTTTGGTCTCCAGTGTGCAGACAGAGCTTCTGCACTCTTCCTCGTCTGACTCTGTGGGTGGTCATTGTAAGCCAATCTTGGAAATTCTTATATACTTGTATATCTTGTGTTAGATCTGTTTCTCTACTAAACATTGGCTGAGATCATGAACAAAGTCCAACTTTGGTTCTTTATTATTTTTATTAAAGGGTAGTAAACCAGCTGGGTGCGGTGGCACATGCCTGTAATCCCAGCACTTGGGAGGCTGAGGCAGGAGGATCGTTGCAAGTTCAAGGCCAGCCTGGGCTACAAAGTGAGCGCAAGGCCAGCCTGAACTGCATACCAAGGCCCTGTCTCAAAGAGACAAAAAAAAGTGATAACCCCTCAAAGAGTTTCCTCAAGAAGAATATAAATTATTGACGCCAGGAATTTACACATCATATAAATTTTAAAGATACAATAAGAAAATATTAAAAATGATATTCAGTAAATTAAACAGTTTTAAGTAAAATAGGAAAATTCCTTGAAATACATAAAAATAATAAACTGCAAAATCTAAATTTATAATATCTATTTTCTGTAGTGCTGAGCATTGGCCACAGGACCTTCACCACACTGGGTCAGTGGTCTACATCTGAGTTGCACCCTAATATCTATTAAACAAAATAGTATTAGACATGCTAGATGTATCTATTAAACAATATTTAATATCTATTAAACAAACTGGATTTCTAACCAAAACCTTCCCACAAAAAGAACTCCAGGCTGATATCAACAAACATGAAATACCTAGAGTAAGTCTCATAACATACACACAAGAACT